TTGCCAGTCATGGGGCCTGAACTCTGGGTCTGGGCACTGTCTCTCAGCTCTTCAGCTCAAGGCTAGCACTCTACCACTGGAGCCACAGCGCCACTTCCGGCTTTTTCTGTTTATGTGGTACTGAGGAATCGAACCCAGGGCCTCATGCTTGCAAGGCATGCACTCTACCGCTGAGCTACCTTCCCAGCCCAAGGATAGAGTTTCTTGACTGGGGATGTAGCTCAGTAGTAGAATACTTGCTTGGAAAGCAAAAAGTCCCTGGGTTGGGCCCAGCAGTGGTGGATGGGGGAAAAGGGAAAATGAAAATGGCTTTTCACAGTGTTTCTTTTAAGTTCTCCCCATAGACTTATCTGTGGAAATGATCTGTATATCTCCCACCTTGCTGGGGTCTCTGTCTCCCTGTGTACATACAACAAGCGCTTTTCTCTGTCACGGAGTAGACAAAGCAAAGAACTTTGTGAGAGGAGAGAATATTCTACAGTGGTAATGGCCAGTGGAGTGTTAAAGTGGTCAGTGGCCTAACGTCAGGGAGTCTTGGGCCAGCCTCTTGTTGGTGTGAGTTGTATATGAAGGTAGTTTATAGATAACCAAGTGGTATAAAAATACAAGTTTCAGAGCCTTCTCACGGATGAGGATGAGAACTAAGGAAAACGAATTGCTGAAGTAAAACAAAAATAACCTTCCCCGTCACATTACATGATGATTTGGCCTGACCTGACAAGTTTGCCTTTCTTTAGGAAAACCATTAAAATCACAGGCATTTGCACATTTTATGATTATCAAAAGGTTTGGGAGGGAGGTGTGTGGGGGATGAAGGCCCTAATGCTAGAGTAGGAGCCCCTGTGGGTGCGGATGGGACTGGAGCATGCTGGAGTGAGGAGCTCACTGCAATCATGCCAGAGACAGCCTTAGTCCCTGCGTGAAGCAGGGATTAGAAGTTACCAAGGGCCTTAAGACCGAGAGTAAAGACAGGAGAGCAGGGCCTCATGCTCCTGACACGATAAATAAATATGAGAGGCGGGGTAAAAGGTCATGTTGCTCCTGTCTCTCAAGAGTCAGAGGCCTAAGGGCCTGGCACGGACTCAGGCTCTGGCGAAGGTCTTGCTGCATGATAGCATGGCACAGGGCATTGGAAGACTGGACAGAACGCGTGTGCTAGGGAGAGCTCCCTTTTAGAACAGAGCCATTCCTGAAGTGTTGAACTCATGTACTCATCCATGCGTAGGTGGATCCATTTATAAGGATAGAGCTTTCATTCATAAAGGTAGATCTCCCACCTTGCAACACTACTGCATTGGGGATGAGATTATAGCCCAGGAAATGTGAGGAGCGGATGAAAGCAAAGCAGCTGGGAAGACACCAGACCTGGTCCTGGAAGGAGGGGAGGCAACCAGAGCTGGGAACCGTCAAAGGATCCTTCAAAAGGAGACAAAGAGAAGACTAATTTGTCAATGTATCATGTTATACGCTTTAAAATCCTTCCCCCACTTTGTAAAGCAACTGCCTTTAAAATGATAGGGTTTTGGGTTTACATTTCAGAAGTTGCCTGAGCAGATGAAAATCTCCTCAGAACTTTCCAGTACACTCAAAAAAGAAGACAATGAGAGGCCTAATGGCAATGAAGGAGAAACAGGTATGTTTAGATTCTGCACGCTGTAAAAGCATGATGATCCCTTATTAACACTCTCTATAAAAGCATGATGATCCCTTTCCTGAAAAGGTCCCAGAAATCTCAGGGTCATTAGATAAGAGTAAGAGGCATGAGCTGGGAGCCAGTGGCTCATACCTGTGATCCTAGCTACTCAGGAGTCTGAGATCCGAAGATCACAGTTCCAAGCCAGCCTGGGGAGGAAAGGCCATGAGCCTCTTACCTACAATTAACCAACAATGAATTGGAAGTAGAGCTTTGGCTCAAGTAGTAGAGTGATAGCCTTGAGCAAAGAAAACTAAAAGGTAATACCAAGGTTCTGCGTTCAAGTTCCAGGATGAGCGAGAGGAAGAAAGAAAGGAGACATGGAAAAGAGATAGGGGAGACTGACTGATAACATCTCTTTTAGGGGTCAGTTAGAAATGACAAAGAGCAGGACTTCTGGGTGGCAGGAGGCTCCTACCATCATTCCTGTAGTATTACCTCCCATAGGGCATTTATCTGAGCAAAGCACAATCTGAGATTGAAGGACAGAAGGTCAGCAGGAATCAATTTTATTCCCACGTGCTAAGAGAAATTAAAAGCAATGATTTTTTTATAATAGTATTTAAAATATGATAAGCATTCAAAAAGAGATTTGTAAGCCCCTCCCCACCCCCTTACACATAGAAGAGTATAGAACACTGCTGAGAGAAATGAAGACTAATCTAAATGGAGACAGATCATATGTTGGCAGTGTCAGGGAACAAATAATCTTTGTCATTAGAATTTAACCTCAAAATAGGAGGCATCAAAGGGCCAGCTTATACAGGGTTTCTTCCTAAGGGCTGTGGTTTCTAATTTGAGGCAAAACCTAACTCTTAGCTCTTACCAAAAACTTGATAACATACTGGAAGGGGGGGGGTGGTTCAAGGAAGAGTAGTGGGAAGGCTGTCAGGTTTAAATGCTTTGTTCTGAACATGTATAGAGCAGGCAGAAGAATCCACTGACCTGGTAGAGTTAGGTGGTGCTGAGGAGGACCGCTGCCTCTTAACAATTCCCTGGAACCAGCAGCCTGAGACGACTCATGTGAGTATCAGATAAAAAGAAGGTGGTGCTATGTCCTGTTGGGTACTGACAAGCAGATGCCTTCCCTCCTCCCCTATAGACCATTTCTTCCTGGCCAACCAGCTGCCAAAGTCTTGAGCATCTCCTCTGCTAGATTATTTTTGTTGGCTAAGCGTGTGGGTGCTCTCCTTTGTGAAATGCATGCAGGGCTGATCTCTGCCTTGTTTACTCATTTGGGATCTGGAGAGTAATGTGTAGGGAAAGGAACCCAGTGTTGGGAGTCAGGCATGAACTAGCTCTGGGACCACTTAGACAAATTAACAATACTGCTGCTGGGGCTTCCTATCAGTGGTGATGGCAAGTTCATAGGTGTGGCCTTAGGCTTTAGAAAATGGGTGGAAAATTACAGCTAGACAGGAGTGAGAAATTCTGGGGTAAGATTTCCCAGTGGGATGACTACAGATAACAACACTGGGTGTTTCAGAGCACCGGAAAGAAAGGACTATGAATGTGTTCATCACAAAGAAATGATACTCAGGGCAGGGCATGGTGGTTCACACCTGTATCTAAGTACTCAGGAGGCTGAGACTGAGAGTTCTAGTTCAATCTGGGCTTTGCAATGAGACTGTCTCAAAAAAAAAGAACCAACCCACAAAACAATACAAAATGGGGGGGGCAGGGGAAGAAGACAGAGATAAATGTTAAAAACATTTAATTTAAATATTTCACGGTAAGTCTGGGAAGGTGGTTCAGTGGTAGAGCGCTTGCCTTGCATGCATGAGGCCCTGGGTTCGATTCCCCAGCACCACATAAGCAAAAAGAAAAAAAGCCAGAAGTGGCGCTGTGGCTCAAGTGATAGAGTGCTAGCCTTGAGCTGAAGAGCTGAGGGACAGCGCCCAGGCCCCATGACCGGACCCAAAAAAAAATTTTTTTTACGGTATACTCAAGCATCAAAAGATTACATTAATGTACATAATTTGTGCATGTGGCAGTTAAGAAATTAAAGAAAATATGCTAGAGCACCTGCTTGTTATATATAGATACTTAGTTTTTTAATTAATTTCCCCACATGAGTACATCCTACAGAAATGTGATGGTGGTATCATGATTATTATGTTTAACAACCAACATTAATCCTTCAGATGAGATGCTGCCATTTTCTTCTCTGCCACGGTTGCACTCTGTGACTCTCTTACCTAGTAACAAACCCTTTCTTGTGACTGGATACAAAGCTTTTGGAGCAGCCAATGATTATTTAGAGCCAAGTTGAATAAATAAAGAGTTTGGGATTCCATTAGGATGCTTTTCCTAAGAATTGTGAAGTAGTTACAAAAGACATTCAAGAGACCTCAAAGGAATCATAACATATTTTTCTTCTTCTTGCAGCCAAAAAAAGCAGCTGGTCGATCACCCGAAAAATCAAAACCAGATACAGAACAAGGTCTGATATGTTTTATAGATTATAAGACCCAATTAGTATCTAAATGTTTCCTGAAGATGTGGAATGTTGAATTTGTTTTTAATCTTTGTTATTTTGGAGTTATTACAAAGCAGGTGAATTCTTCAAATGTACAAGAAGCATCAGTTCAAAGTCAGGTTCCTGAATTAGGTGACAAATCTAAGTAAGTGACTTAAAATTTTATTCTGATATTACACGACATAGGTGTACAGATTCACAGGGCATAATGTGATGTTTCTGTACCTCATACCAATTGACCATCCTGTATCCCAAATGCCTAGAACAGAAGTGTTTCAGATTTCAAGTTTTAGAATATTTGCACACACATAATGAGATACTTTGGCAATGGGACCCATGTCTAAACACAGATTTTTTTTGTTCCATGTACACCTTATGCTCACAGGCTGAAGGCCAAATTACACAGCAGTTTCAGTATGCCTGCATGCCTTCTACTTCACTGCAGGATACCAGCAGTGGCATTCTCCACTGAGACATGATGTTGTCACTCATTAAGTTTTGCATCCTGGAGCATTTAGAGTTTCTTTTTTGTTTGTTTGTTTTGTTTTGGTTGGTCATGGGGCTTGAACTCTGGGCTTGGGTGCTGTCCCTGCACTCTTCAGCTCAAGGCGAGCGCTCTACCACTTGAGCCACAGCGCCACTTCTGGTTTTCTAGTGGTTTATTGGAGATAAGAGTCTCAAGGACTTTCCTGCCCAGGCTGGCTTTGAACTGTGATTCTCAGATCTCAGCCTCCTGAGTAGCTAGGATGACAGGCGTGAGCTACCGGCACCGGCTGCATTTAGAGTTTGTAGGATAAGGACTATCAGCTTTTTGTTGACAACCCAATCTCAATTCCTTTAGATATTGACCCAGAAGTGGGATTGATAAGTCACATATTACTTCTAGTTAATTTGTGTGTGCGTGTCTGTGTGTGTGCAGGCTAGTACTGGGGCTTGAACTTGGCTTCACATTCTCCTTTAGCTTTTTCACTGATACTCTGCTACTGATGTCATGTCTTTACTTCTGGTGTGTTGTTTTTTTTTCGTGGGGGGAGCTGGTTAATTGGTGAAAAGAGTCTCACTAACTTTTCTACCCAGGCTGGATTTGAACTGTGATCATCAGTCATCAGCTTCTTGAGTAGCTAAGATTACAGGGGTAGGCACCAGGGCCTGGCTGTATTTTTAATTTTGGAGGTATCTCCATGCTGCTTCCCACAGAAGCTTTATTGGCATTCAGTGTGGGAGGGTTTCAGTTACTCCACAGCATTTCAGAACTGTTATATATGTGCATACTTGTATACATGTGTATAATAGCCCATAAACATGTATATATGTATAAACACCTATATGCACACACATGCAGACACATGCATATACACATATGCATGCACATACACACATGTGTGTATGCACATACATGCCAGTGTATGGCTATATGGCATGTACATGTACATATAGATACATGCATACATATGTATATGTATAAGCACCTGCATGTGTACATATGTATGTAGATGGTTATATGTGTGTAGATGTACATGTGTGCATATATATGTATATATGCTGTGAATAGACATTTCTTCAAAGACCACCCACTGGTGGCTACGATGTATACAGATGCTCAGCATCCGCAGTCACCCCTGGGGCCAGGGAATAGAAGTGCCACACCTTAGCATTATGTGGTTGCAGATCCTACCCTGTCTTTTTACTTGTTTATTTATTTATATAAGTGGTCCTTCTCTGCCAGATAATCTGTGGAAATATCCTGCAAGATAAGAAGTATGAATGGGTACTTCCTGTGCGTGGAGCTCAGGAGCAGGGGACGTGGCCCAGGAGGGGGGAAAGTGAGACCTGAGGGACTCAGGTGGGTGATAATTGCACTAATCCATTAAATTTGGTCTCAATGGTTTTAGGGAAGACTCTGCTTTTGAGGGTGACCGAAAACAAGAAAGAAGGAAGTCGGTAATGTAATTTTTTTTAATCTTAAGGCAATTCTTAATATAAAAAGTATAAATATCAGCTGGGTGCTGGTGGCTCACAACTGGATTCCTAGCTACTCAGGAGGTTGAGATCTGAGGTTTGTGTTTCAAAGCTAGCCTGGGCAGAAAAGTCTGTGAGACTCTTGGCAGGCAGAAATGGAGGTGTGGTTTAAGTGGTATAGCACCAGCCTTGGGCAAAAGGTAAGGGACAGGCCCTGAGTGAAAGCCCTAGTACTGGCACAATACATGCATGTATACATATGCATGCAAACATATATGCATATACACATATACATATACATATACATGTATTTATACATACATATATATATGTATACATGTATGTGTGTATATATTAAGGTTGAATTACCTTTCCTGAATAGATTAATCTTGTTCTAAATTTATAATCTTTTATAGCCAGGCTTAATTTAAAAAATGTTTCCAAAAGCCTTCTATCTGTGTTTGGGTCTTCTAAGATGTAGAGAAACCTGTCGTTTTGTTTTCTTGTTCTGGGCATCAACCCCAGAGCTTTGCATATGCTTACCACTGAGTTCCATTGCTAGCCTAGAGTCCTGACTACATCCCTAGTCTGGAAAAAGACATTTCAACTATGCTTTGCCATTTGAATTTATGTTTTGGAGTTGTGGTATTGGCATAATATTCAGGTCCGCTGCTTTTGTTCTCCAGTGGTAAATGTGATCAAAGATGACTTGTCACCCTTTGTATTTAGCAGCTTGGTTGGGAATCACAAAAAAAAAAAAAGAATCATCCTTTTCTTCTTTTTTTCTCCCCCTCCTTCCTTCTGTACGTTTTTATTATGGAAGAGAGCACAGTCTTCTAACATAATTTGCTTCTCTTATGTTTGATTATAGCATATTTAGTCTGCATGCAGCAAAATGTTTACTTGTACATACGTGACATTCTCCTCCTATTAAAGGTTCTTACTGATCAGCAGTGTTTGTAAAAGTCTAATTACAGGAAACATCTCTTCTCTGATGACAGTAAAGATTCAAGTTCTAGTCCCAGTGAAAAATCCTGGACCAGTAACAGCAAAAAGAGATACCTAAAGCCATACTCTAGGAGAAGAAAGTCAAGCGTCAACCATAGCATGAGAAGTGAGTGCCTTGGGTTGGAGGCGAGGCTCAGTTGGTAGACAGCTAGCCAATGAGTGAAAGCAGCCTCAGGTTCTGAGTCTGAGTCTCAGACCTAGAGGGAAAAAAAAAGGGAAGTGAGTTCCTGCTTGTCTTCCTTTGTCACACATACAGCAGCAAATACTTATTTTTCAGCATGTGATGGGAGAAAGGGTACCAAAGAAATGTGTGATGTGAGGCCTCGTCCCTGTGAGAGTTACATCAGAAAGGCCAAGGCCAAGAATATGCACTTAACCAGCAATTGTTAGATGTGAGTCATGGGTAAATGGACTGGGAGTTCAGGTCAGAAGAATCTGGCATGAGCTAGAATCATCTGTGAGAGATAACTCTCAGAAAAGGAACAGGATTTGAAGGGCTGAGAGGTAAGAACTGGCTAAAAAGGTAAAACTGATAAAAAGAGGCTGAGATAAAATTACCAAAGTGAAACCAAGGTCAGAGTTTGACATTGGAGGGTGAGGGCTTTGTAGCCACAAATTCATGCTGGTGGGAGAAGTATGATTGAATAATTAGAACAGCACCCAAAGAGTAGACACTTGAACAAGTTGTCCCAAATGGGAACTGGCATACCTAATAAAGAGGGTGAAAAGTGGATTTCCTTCCATCTTGATCAACATGTTCTTTGTGTACCTACTTTCTTTTGTATTTTAGTATTGCCGCTTTCCCCTGTCAATAGTGGCAGTGATCTCAAGAAACACAGAGTAAGTAAACGTTTTTGGGCTGCTGTGGGGCCTTATGGATCAAACTGCATTTATTTCAAAACCAAAACACAAGATAATTTTCTGAGAATGCAAGAGCAACAAACCAATGGCTCACTGCCAGTAGAAACAGCAAGGATGCCTCGGCCTTTGGTGTGAATCTTAGGTAAAGATGGAGAAGTTTTTCTCATAGTTCCCAGACACTGCTAAAGGCTCTTTATTATGAAGGATGTAGGAAACTGACTTCCTACAAAAAATATGCTCCCTGAACTAGCTGCATTTTAAAGCAAACTTATTGATTTTATTTTTGACATGTTACTTTGAGGTTCTGATAATTTCAGCATTTACACATAATGAAATTATATATGTACATCCATCTAGATATACATCAATACATTTTACATATATGAATGAACTATATTAACCAGAGATAATCACCTAGTATACAGGAGCTTTATAAGGTGTGGCTGCTGCGATTCTGAGTATCTCCTCCTGCCTCGTGCAGCTAGTGTTCAAACCACTGGTTCCACCTGCCGGGGTCTCGTTCCCTAAGGACAGAGATAGGTCAAATCTACATGGTAGAGTATGGATACTTATTCCTTGGTATCTGTGGCTGGTTGATTCCAGGACCCTGATTGGATACTAAATCTGTAAGTGATCAAGCCTCACAAAATGGCATAGAACAGACCTGTCACCTATGCAGATCCTTCATTATGCTTCAAATTGTCTTTAGATGACTTAAGCTGAAATGTAATGTGTAAATTCATTATTTTGTTGTATAGTTTAGAAAAGTAATGACTAAAAAATACTTGTACACTGTGACTACAACTGGTAATGTTTTTCTGAGTATTTAAAATCCACACTTGGTTGAATTTGTGGATGTGGAATCTGTGGTTTTGTCCTCAGCATTTTTCAGGAAGGCAGAAGTGTGGAGTTTGAACTTAGAACTGAGCAAGGAGGCTTTGCTTGCTTGCTCATGGAGTCTCACCTCCAGCCTGGCTTTTTGCTGGAGATAGTCATCTAGCACACTTTTTTTGCCTTATCTAGCTTCGAACTGCAATCCTTTGAATCTTAGCTTCGTGAGTATCTAGGATTACAGCTGTCCTTAACTATTGGTTCAATAATCAACCTGAAATAATGAATTGTCTCTTAGAAGAATGAACCAAAGGAACTGATTCAAATAGACACAGTTTGGGTTTTAAATAAACATCAAAGAAACACTACAGGTTTGAGACTCAAGCTGATTGACCAACAAAAAGTCTGAGTTAATTTCAGTGAAAGCATTGTTGATTTTCAGTTTCAAATATTATTTTCTGTGCCAGAGTTCTGAGACAAGAATGTAGAGCAAGCATTGGTAAACATTATTTGTAAAAGGCCAAGTAATAAATATTTAAATTTCTTGAGACATAGTCGCTGTGGCAACAAATCAACTTTGCCTTTGTAGCCAGAAAGCTACAAAGTGGAGTATGGAAATGAACAGGTGCACTGCATTCCAATAAAGCTTTATTTACAAGAATAAGCAGTAGGTTTATCTTCCCAATCCCTAATTGGAAGTGTTTCTCAACCTTGAGTAATAATCAAAATGCCCAGAATGCTTGCTAGCACACAGATGACTGCCAAGCCCATCTTCTTTGGAGATGGAGACAGGCCATCCCAGGCAAAGTTAGAGATGGTATTCAAAAAAACAAACTGCAAAATGAAAGAGCTGGTGGTGTGGCTTATGTGGCACTTTTGGGATCTTATATCTTAGTGCTTATTATTGAATGCAAGAGATCCGGTACTTCAACTTTCTTTAAAAATATCAAAAGTATCTTGCAAGTTTTGATACAAAGCGTTGAGTGGTTATGAATGTTTAACAAGGATTATATTTTAGGCTAACACTCTGACACCAGTATGGAAAGGCCTCCCCATGCAAAACAACACCACACCTCCCACGATTTCTGGAACAAAACCCCAAGGTAGTTCCGCCTTCTTAACTCCTAAAGATTCTGCACAGAAAGTAGGTATGCACTTTTCAGTTGATTTATGTAGAAAAAAATTATATTTGGGGATGGGAAGTGTGAAATGCAACATCTTGAAAAAATATCTAGATGCAGAAAGTGTAAAGAAACGGTGTTTTTTTTTCCCCCCATCTAATGTCTCCATTAGTAAAGGAAGGAAGATCACATGTCTTAATTTCACTTTGATATCTGAGATTCAGGACTGGGAAAGTGGCTTAGTGGTAGAGTGCTTGCCTAGCATGCATGAAGCCCTGGGTTAGATTCCTCAGTACCACATAAACAGAAAAAGTCAGAAGTGGTGCTGTGGCTCAAGTAGTAGAGTGCTAGCCTTGAGCAAAAGAAGCTCAGGAATAGTGCCTAGGACCTGAGTTCAAGCAGAAAACAAAAATGAACAAATAAAAATGCAATTCAACTCAAATGGTTCCAGGCAAAGCTTGGTAAAATTTTTTTTGAAAGGATCGATAATAAATCCTTTACTGTCAGAAACCTGTGTGCTTTCTGTTATAATTTACAAATGCAACACTGAATAAGCCACAGAGAAGATATAAGCCAGGGAGCGGTGTGTATGTATTTCTGTTTACAGTTATAAAATTAAATAGCCCACTAGTCTGGGGGAGCAGATTTTCTGTGATTTTCTCTCTCTCTCTCTCTCTGTGTGTGTGTGTGCGCGTGCGCGCATGCCTCCCACTTAGCTTGGCTTAGCTTGGCTTTTTCACTCAAGGCTGGTGCTCTACAACTGGGCCACAGATCCACTTCTAGCTTTTTGCTGATTAATTAGAGATAAGAGTCTCATAGATTTTTCTGCCTCCTGACTAGCTTGGATTACAGGATAAGCCACCAGTGTTAACAAAGCTTTAACTTTTAGTTTGTAAACTTTATTGTAATTCTTTGCACCTTTTATGTTTGTAGATGTAGAGCTTTTCTTTTGTTTACATTCATCATTCTATAGTTTATTCCATTGTTGGGCATGTAATGGCACTTATTAAACATTTGGCTGACAGCCTCTTAGCCTAGCTGCTATTGGCAGAAAAAAAATAGGGAAAGGGAAAAGGAGAGAAGAATAGGTAGCATCAACAAAGAAGGCAGCAAGAGGGGGAAAAAAGACCAAAGAAATTGAAACAAAATAATGAACAAAATGACAACAGTGAGTCCTTATTCTTAGTGATTACTTTGTAAATGGATTAAACTATCCAATTAAAAGAAGCACTGATTGAGTAGATTAACAGGCAAACAAACTCAGCGATATGTTGTCTACAAGAGACTCATATTAGCCTGAAGGAAACACATAGGCTAAAAGTGCAAGGCTGGAAGAAAGATATTCCATACAAATGACAGCCAAAAAAAAGTGGCAGAAATGTCTATATTTGGACAATAAATGCTTAATAAAATCTGTTATGATAGATAATTTCCATATGAGGATAAAGGGGTCAATTCATCAAGAAGATAATAACATTTGTAGAAATATATGCACCTAATATTGGATCACCTCAATATGTAAGGCAAATATCTTAAAGGAGAAATAGTTCATAACACAGCATCAGTTCAGTTAGCCATTTTCAAGGATGGAGAGATCGTGGAGGCAGAAAACCGTGAACTTGGGTACTGAAGTGGGACAAATGGCCCCGACAGACACCATTCCAGGTAGCAGCATAACATGCCTTCCCCCCAAATCTCCTCCTCCTGGGTAGGCTGGGCCACAAAAGAAGAAAGTCTTAACACATTTAAGATTAAAATGGTTACAAGTACATTTTCTGATCACAATGGTACAAAACTAGAAATTACCAACAGGAAAGATTGGGGGATAATTCACAAATACACAGAAAACGGGCAACACAGTGTTGGAACAACCAAGACATAAAAGTGTAAGTTAAAGTGCCTTGAGACAAAAGAAAATGGAAATGAAATACTCCCAAATGTGTAAGATGTAGCAAAGACACTAGGAGGGAAGGCTACGGAAATCAATGCCTTCATTAAAAAAAGAATCTTGAACAAATTAATTTCACACTGCAAGAAACAAAATAAACTAAGCCCAAAGCTAGTAGAAGGAAGACAATAATGATTAGAACTGAAATAAATGAAAAATATATATCCTAGAAAGAGAAATAGATCTAAAAGCTAGTTGATTTCTGTACCTTTTATTCTTGTGTGCTGATTTTGTATCCTTGGAACTTACCTGATACTTTTTTTTTTGTAGTTTTGGAGTTCTCTCTTTATTTTATTTTTTTTGAGTCCGGTCGTGGGGCCTGAACTCTGGGCCTGGGTGCTGTCTCTCAGCTCTTCAGCTCAAGGCTAGTGTTCTACCACTCGAGCCACAGTGCCACTTCTGGCTTTTTTCTTTTTGTTTATGTGGTGTTCAGGAATCGAACCCAGGGCCTCATGCATGCAAGGCAAGCACTCTACCACTAAGCCACCTTCCCAGCCCCGAGTTCTCTCTTTATAATGTCCAATATAGATTCATTTCTCTGTCTTTTCTGGGCTTCTTATATGATCATGATTTTGTGACATTTAGCTACACAAACTAAATAAAGGAGAATCCCTAAATGTGACTAATTATGATCATTTCGATAGATGTAGAAAAAAATGTCTGAAAAAGTAAACACTCAGTTTGGTACTGGTGGTTCTCGTTTTTATTCCTAGCTTCTCAGGAGCCTGAGATCTGAGGATTGTGGTTCAAAGCCAGCCTGGCAGGAAAGTCTGTGAGACTTTTTTTTTTTGTGGCTTGTGGGGCTTGAACTCTTAGGCCTGGGTGCTGTCCCTCAGTTCAAGGTTACTGCTCTACCACTTGAACCCCAGTGCCACTTCTGGTTTTCTGGTGGTTAATTGGAGATGAGAGTCACATGGACTTTCCTTGCCTGGGCTGTCTATAAGGAATATTCCTCCACCTATTAGAGGCTAGATACAAGCAGCCCACATCTAACATCACTCATTGGTGAAAGCTGAAAACATTTCCTCTAGGGTCAGAAGGCGATGGCAAGGTGTCTGTTCTCACCACTTGTGCTCAACGTTGTGCTGGAACTCCTACTCAGAGCACTCAGGCAAGGCAGAGACATATTGGAAAAGTTTAACTGTTGGCTCACAACTGGAGCTTATAGAGAGAAGACTCCAAAACTACCCAACACAAAACAAAACTCATCAGCTCAGTAAAGTTTTGTGTCAAGGATACAAAATCACATTACAAGAAGACAAGGTACAGGGGCTGGGAAGGTGGTTCAGTGGTAGAGCGCTTGCCTTGCATGCATGAGGCCCTGGGTTCGATTCCTCAGCACCACATAAGCAAAAAGAAAAAAAGCTG